ATATTGTCGTTCAAGGTCTCTAACCATCGGTGACTATCGTCTCGCGGACGCCAACCAGGTAGTCTACATCTACCAACATGATTCAGTCCACTTGTTAGTGATTTCATGGATTTCTGCCTTGTTTTAGTTTGGCCGCCCCTAACTTTTTTCCAGTAAACTCCTACACCACAAAACATAGCTCGTCGAGGCAGTCGGTGGTTAGGCATACGTAACACATGTCCCAACCACCTCAACTGATGAAGTTTCACTACTTCATCTATTGATTTGCCATCCCTACCTAGAACTCGTTTCCTAATGACAGCATTGCTTATACGGTTGTCCCAGGATACACGAGCAATGCTTCAGAGACACCGATGATCGAAGACTAGTAACATACGGAAGTCCTCTACTCTCAACGGCCAAGTCCCGCATCTGTACAGTAGGACGGAGCGAACTGCTGCACAGTACACTCATCCTTTAGTCAGCAGACGGATATCTCGCCTACACCATAAATGACGCAAGTTGGCAAAAGCCAGTCGAGCTTTCTGTATCTGTTCTGAGATTTCGTCAGTCATCAGGCCATCAGCACTGATGAGACTACCAAGATAAGTGAAGCGCTAAACTGACTATCCCATAAATAAAGTTTTCATGGTTTCATTAACTGTTTTTCAAATCAGAATTAGTCAAAAGACCAAACTTACAAAATAAACGATGAAGCAGTTTGTTTGACAATCATGTCGATAAATTTATGTGATAATGTAAATTCATTTGTAGATGATATTTTTTAATTCCCCGCTCCCCCACTTTCCAGCACTAACAATGCAATTTCTCAATAAACTCCTCTTAACATTTTAAAGGTTTCAAATCCAGCTTGCACAGAATTAGAAGTTGTCATGATTGATTGGATGGCAAAAATTATCGGTTTACCTGAACACTTCATATCGAATAAAAATGCCGGTGGATTGATTCAAGTAAGCAATAAGAAAATATTCTCTCTTTTTTCCATTGGTTTTATGATATTCATTTCGTATTTTCCGAAGTCAAGAACTTTAGTTCATACATCCTTTCAATAAAGCAAATTATTTCAGTTACAAATCCCCGTCTCATTCAGTCAGATAAAAAACGGCACGCTGGACAATATTTAAACACGAATCGTGCATATCTAAAGTGATATTTGTTTATTTAAGTTCAAAATTCACATGGATGACCCGACTTTGAATGCCCGATATGTGTTGCTTGAACTACAATTCCGTCATACAACCTTTGAAATGACTATTTTGATGCAATACAATCTCACTGTTCTAATAAGCTTTGCATAATTCGTGGTGAATTATTTATTCACAAAATAAATGGTTTTAAAAAATGTATAACTTAACAATCCTTACAACCCCGAAATGAAAATTACCTGTGCTCACTAGTGACTATCTTTGTGAGGAATCTTCTCCGAGTTCTAGTGGGAAGATGTGACCAGTGAAGTTCAACCTGTTCGGGTGTAGATAGTAAATACTGAAGACTGTGTATGAGGTTGCGTAACTCCGTGAATTTGATCAAGTTAGACATTAACACCGTTAAATACCGGCCCGGTGGTCCAGACGTTAGGCATTCGTTCTCAAGACCGAGGGTCTCCGGTTCGAATCCTGCGAGGTGCATGAGTCGTGGATGCGCACTGCCGAGGAGTCCCATACCAGGACGAAACGGGCGTCTTTCAGTGCTTCCATGTTTCTAATGGTGGTCTAACATTGATCGATTCATGGTTTCAAAAATATGTAACTTAACAATCTTCACAACCCCATAATACAAAATAAATTGTCAAATAACTGTAATGGAACAGAAAATTATCCTAAAACGTTTTTCTTTTTATTTTGCAAATACACTAGAAATTCATCTCTTTTTATTCGGTGTATGTGTGTGTTTACACTTTTCGGCGCTATTTTGGATTATTTTTGCAGATGAATAAATATTTATTAATGATTTCTAACTGATAAATATTATGTAACAGTTGACAGTGATTTTTGAACGAATGCGCTTTTTGGGAAAAAAGGAATGATTTTACATTTGTTCTTAAATAAGAAAGATCGTAATTCAGTACAAAATGTTTCAGAATTTACTGATAACTAAACAAATACTAAAAAGGAGATAAAATCAATCACAACAGTCAAGCAAAGTGAAAGTAATCTCTTAGTTATGTTTTGTGGTTGGCGATTTTTTTCACTGCGTTAGTTTTCTACGCGATGGGGTTGCGAACCCCTTGTCTAACCCTATTCATTTACCCGGGCTTGGTACCGGTAGTAATCCTAGAGAGGCTCTATTTACTTTATTTACTTTCGCCTGTTATCTCCAATGGAGCATAGGCTGCCCACCAGTTTTCTCAAACCAACTCTGTCCTAAGCTTCTCTTTCCAGTTCTTTCCAGTTTGTTGATTCCTCTCATATCTTTTTCTATTTCTCGGCGTAATGTGTTCCATGGCCTTCCTCTTTTCCTTTTGGCTTCAGAGTTCCATGTGAGGGCTTGTCTCGTGACACAGTTAGGTGCTTTTCGTAGAGTGTGTCCTATCCACTTCCACCACTTCTTCCTGATTTCCTCCTCCACTCGAATCTGAAATGTTCTCTCCCACAGTACGTTGTTGCTGATAGTGTCTGGCCAACGAATAAGAAGTATTTTGTGTAGACAACTGTTAATAAACACTTGAATCTTCTGGATGATGGCTTTGGTAGTTCTCCATGTTTCCGCCCCATAAAGCAGAACTGTCTTGACATTTGTATTGAAAATCGTGATTTTGGTTTTGGTTGAAAGTTGTTTGGAGTTCCAGATATTTTCCAGCTGTATAAATGCAGCCCTTGCTTTGTCGATCCGAGCCCTCACATCTGCATCGGATCCACCTTGGTTGTCGATGATGCTGTCAAGATATGTAAAGGTGGTAACGTCCTCCAGGAAAATCTCCATCAAGAGTGATTTGGTTTGCGCATATTGTGTTGTATCGTAGAATCTTACTTATTCCTTTATGTATGTTGAGACCTACTGCTGCAGAGGCCGCTGCTACCCTTGTTGTCTTCTCCTGCATTTGTTGTTGTGTGTGCAACAGAAGAGCCAGGTCATCTGCGAAGTCCAGATCATCCAGCTGCGTCCCAACTGTCCATTAAAAACCACGCATTCCTCCATTACATTCAGAATATAACTGATTTACATATTTCGTTATTCAAATCATGAATGAATCATCGTCAGATCACCATCAGATATCTGGAAGGACTAGATGGCCGTCATGTCCTAATATGCTACTCATCAGTAGTGCATATCCATTTTTTTCAATATTGCGAAACATAACATAAATGATTTTCACTAGCCTTAAAATTTTATTCATCACTGTTTGATAATGTTATTTGATTGTAAATCGATGAGAATTTTATCTTTTATTTCAAGAAAAAATAAATTTCTTCTCTATTTTTAACTAATTCAAGAATGACTGAACATATATATATATATATATATCTATTGATTACCATTCGATTTGAAAGTCAACGTTTTTCATCTTCTGAAATGTCGGTTTCAACTTATTTGTTTTTGGTTGAAATAAAATTTAAGTAATATTGTCAATTCTAATAGCTAGGAATTAATTTTTATAGTTGGAGGTTAAGCGGTCGCATGTGAGACCGCAGGTTCCGGATTTGATTCCCGGATGTAGGGGTTGTGGATGTGTACAGTGCTTTCAGACTTGTAATGATGGTCTAAACAAGATCAATTTGTCTTATGAGATATGAGAACTGTAAATTCGTTTAATTATATGGTTGATTTTACAAGATCGAAAATTTCTATGAAAAAAGTACACTTATTGATTTGATTCACCATTTTGAAAGTGAACAAAAAATTCCTAAGAAAATGGTTTATTTTTAAAAGACATCACCTACTGATGCTACACTTATAGTATAAATATAGCACATATATATAAAAGTCCATTAGAAAATAGAATGAGATCACTTGGAAGAGTATTTGGAAATATTGAATATTGAAGAGACAAGGCAAGTGAAAAAACTTCAAATGAAGAAATGATTTTCCCTAATTATTCATTATAAACAAAAGAATCATTGAATGATGTCGTAAGAGTTCATCATCATTACCTGATGAAAAGATTTAGAAATAAGTGTACTTAAGTAATATTCAAAACTACATTTGAAGCCTTTCTAGGGGTTACTGACAGCCCCAAGCCGGAGAGGGTTGGACATGGGTTCAACGGCCCTATCGCGTAGAAATTCAACTCGCTAAAAAAACAGTAACTAACCAGAAAAAATAATTCTCTGGTCGGTGGCCTATAAATCCACTAGGGGTAATAGGAGTAAATAAGTAAGTTAGCATATATAATAAAGGTTTACATTTTAATAAATCTGTCAAACAGACTGACAAATACAATTGTACCTGATATCCAAAAATATGATTAACACATTTTGAAATATGTATTACGGGGTTGTGAAGATTGTTAAGTTACACATTTTTGAAACCATGAATCGATCAATGTTAGACCACCATTAGAAACCTGGAAGCACTGAAAGACGGCCGTTTCGTCCTGGTATGGGACTCCTCAGCAGTGCGCATCCACGACTCCTGCACCCCGCAGGATTCGAACCCAGGACCTTCGGTATTGTACGCGAACGCCCTAACCTTTGGACCACTGAGCCGGTATTCGACGGTGTTAATGCACAACGGGCGTTCGCGCACAATACCGAAGGTCCTGGCTTCGAATCCTGCGGGGTGCAGGAGTCGTGGATGCGCACTGCTGATGAGTAGTTTCATACCAGGACGAAACGGCCGTCCAGTCCTTCCAGGTTTCTAATGGTGGTCTAACATTGATCGATTCATGGTTTCAAAAATGTGTAACTTAACAATCTTCACAACCCCGTAATGCAAATTACCTGTGCTCACTAGTGACTAGCTTCGTGAGGAATCTTCTCCGAGTTCTAGTGGGAAGACGTGACCAGTGAAGTTCAACCTGTTCGGGTGTAGACAGTAACTACCGAAGACTGTGTATGAGGTTGCGCAACTCCGTGAATTTGATCAAGTTAGACATTAACACCGTTAGATACCGGCTCAGTGGTCTATCGGTTAGGGCGTTCGCGCACAAATCCGAAGGTCCTGCGTTCGAATCCTGCGAGGTGCAGGAGCCGTGGATGCTCACTGCTGAGGAGTCCCATAACAAGACGAAACGGCCGTCTTTGAGTGCTTCCAGGTTTCTAATTGTGATCTAACATTGATTGATTCATGGTTTCAAAAATGTGTAATTTTGAAATATGGTAAGAAATGACTCAAGTAATTTTAAATTTAATGGTTTTAATAGATTTATAGAAATGAATTTAGTTTTGACAAAGTACTAATATTAATAATTAGACCTGTCTCTTTCTAATGAGAGGCTGCTAAACAATCCATATCACCAAACAAGCCAGCGATCACTACTTGCAATCCGAAGCGTTGTAATCCATTTGTATACACTGAATCGGCAGTATGATAAATCACAAGTGTGAAAACTTAACTACGTAATTGTGTGCTCACTTGTAGCTATTTATCAGACGAATTAGAAGATCTCCGATTTTCTCAAATCGACTAAGTATCAGCACAGGACAGACTTGGTGGGAGAAAACTAGTGGGCAGCCTATGCTCCATTGGGGGTAACAGGCGTAAGTAAGTAAGTAAGGACAAATCTCAACATAAGTATACTTGTATCAAAAACAGAGATTCTTCGTATCAGTTTAGAGTGAACAAGATAATACTTATACAAGATATCAACAAAAAAATAAAACGGAAACTTTTGTTTCAGTTGAAAATAACTATTTTAAATGCTACTAATAACTAGGAAATTTTACTCTGCCTAGAGCCTCTCTATTCTATCTCACACGCAACAACAAATGCAAGAGAAGACAACCAGTGTAGCAGCAACCTTAACAGAAGTAGGTCTCAACAAAAATAAATGGAAAAGTAAGATTCTACAATACAACACTACGTGCATCAATCAAATCACGCTTGATGGAGATGCCTTGGAGGACGTTAACACCTTTTAATATCTTTTCAGCATCATCGACGATCAAGGTGGATGCGATGGGGATGTAAAGGCGCAGATCGGCAAAGCAAGGACAACATTTATACAGTTGAAGAATATCTGGAACTCTAAACAACTATCAATCAACATCAAAATCACAATTTATAATACAAATGTCAAGACAGTCGTACTGTATGGTGCGGAAACTTGAAGAACCATATAAGCTATCATTCAGTAGATACAAGTATTTATTAACAGTTGTCTACACAAAATACTTTGGATTCGTTACCCAGACACTATCAGCAACAACGTACTGTGGGAGAGAACATTTCAGATTCGAGTGGAGGAGGAAATCAGGAAGAAGTGGTGGAAGTGGATAGGACACACTCTACGAAAAGCACCTAACTGCGTCACAAGACAAGCCCTCACATGGAACCCTCAAGGCAAAAGGAAAATAGGCAGGCCAAAGAACATATTACGCCGAGAAATAGAGAAAGATATGAGAAGAATGAACAAACATTGGACAGAACTGGAGGGGGGAGCCCAGGACAGAGATGGTTTGAGAAAACTGGTGGGCGGCCTATGCCTGATTGGGGGTAACAGGCGTAAGTAAGTAAGTAAGTAAAGTATCTATTGCGAATATAATCTCACTGATGATGTAACATTTCCATTTGATTCATACACTAATTATAGATGAACAGTAGAAATCTTGCAAAGTACTAAACAAATGCAGTTATTATGAATTCCACTGAATAAAATTAATTGATTTTTTTCATTGTAAGCCATTACGATAATCATCAATGTTTATTGTTCATAATGTAAATCTTTTCACAGGGTAGTTGTAGTGAATCCACATTGGTTGCACTATTAGCTGCACGTAATAAAGCTATAAATCAATATCAAACTATTCATCCGAATGCAAGTAGTTATGAAGCTTTATCAAAACTTGTTGGTTATTATTCTGATCAGGTAACAAAAAACAAAAACATGATCCTTTTTTAACTCTCATTTTATTAAGAGTTTTTTTGTTTGTTTGTTTAGTGTTAATCAGAATTGATTGTTGTATTTTCAAATGAACAAGAAATTTTTTTTTGGCAAACATATTTACTTATAAAGTAAGAATAAGTAGTTTACAAACTCTCTCAAAATTTTTTAGAGCTCTTGTCTAAATATGAATAAATAGTTGAGTGCCAAATTAAGGTAAGACAAGAAAGCGGAATAATCAAATTGTTAAGTCTCAGTAAATGAACTTTCAACAAATCAGACGTTTCTGCCGACAATCTAGTCGAAGCTTTTCAAAGCTTTTCAAGTAAGACGTTGGATTTACTCTAAGTTCAATCGCGGAGACTTCATTCAGTCAGCCATACGTACATACATCAGCACAGTGACACAATTGTCAATTCAAATCCCATAAGGGTAGATCTTGTAGCCGTATAAGCGGTTATAGAGATTAGGGTTCGGAAATATTTTTCATGAAGTATAATACAATGAAATAAACTTAAAGAGAGTAAGGTGAAGTTTATGAGGAATAAAGAAGGTTAGAATTCGAGAGAAGACAAATGAATGCACCTGCGTCATTGCATATGATTTTAAGTAATGTCATTCAAAGTGTCTAACCATCGGTTAGTATCGTCTCGTCGACCCCAACCAGGAAGTCTACACTCACTAACATGATTCATTTCACTTGTCAGTGAATTCAGAGATTTGTTTCATGTTTTCGTCTGGCCGCCTCCGAGATTTCTTCCAACCTACTCCTACGTTACAAAACAGTTATAAAACATTACAAAACACAGGACCTTCGGTATTGTACGCAATCGCCTAACCACTGGGCCGACATTCATCGACTTCACCCATTTGTCTTTCGTAGTTACTGCCTACACCCGACAGGGCTGAACTCCATTGGTCACGTCTTCTCACTAGAACTCCGAGAATTTCCTCACGAAGCTAGTCACTAGTGAGCACATGTTACGACATTTTCAATTAGATGATGAGTCCCATAGCAGGACGAAACGGCCGTCCAGTGCTTTCAGGTTTCTAATGGTGGTCTAACATTGGTCGATTCATGATTTCAAATGTGAAAAAACACAAACCTCCAAAACTCTGCCCCAAAATAAACTAACAGACTGAACCAGTTGCTAATTTGGTTCGAAGAAGAATTTATCTTGAAGTTCGCCTTCAATATTGCATTCTAATCTCTTTCAGTCCGACTACTTATCAGCTAACTCTCCATCAAATCTATTTTGATATATACACATTTATTAAGGTTTTAAATGCTTTCTTTTGGGTTTTGAAAAGAATTTCTTACTAAAAAGTTTATTTTATTTTTTTGTTGTTGAAATTTTAGGCGCATAGTTCAGTTGAACGAGCTGGATTAATAGGAATGCTTCAATTGAAATCAATTAAATCCAATGAAAACTATGAAATGAATACAAGTTTATTAGAACAAACTATTCAAGATGATTTAAACAATGGGCTAGTTCCATTTTTTGTAAGTTCTCTCTCTTATTTTACTAACATGTTTAGGGTTATATTGAAATTTCGCAGGTTGACATGAAGTAATCAAAACTTCATCAGTTGAGGTGGTAGGGACATGTGTTAGTATGCCAAGCCACCGACTGCCTCGGAAAGCTGTTTTGTGGTGTAAGAGTAGGTTGGAAGCAAGCTAGGGGCGGCCAAACCAAAACATGGCAGAAATCCATGAAGTCGTTGACAACTGGACTCAGTCACGTTGGTAGTTGTCAACTACCTGGTTTGGGTCCGCGAGATAATAATAATCGATAGTTAGAGAGCCTGAATGACATGGCTCAAAACCGTTTGCAGTGGCGTCGGTGCATTTATTCTTTGTGTTCTCTCAAATCATAATCTTCTGGATTCTTCAACACCTCTAGTTTTGACTTTCTAAACTTATCTCACTGAATTATACTTCTTGAATAATACCTTCTAATCCTAACCTCTCCGATTACTTCTAATTCCCTTACTACCTCTCCTACTATTGGATTTGAACTGACAATTGAATCTCTGTGTGCTGATGTGGAATGGCAACATGAACTGATGTATTTACGTACGAAGTTCTACGTTGCATCTGACTGACTAGGCTGACATAAATAATTATACTTTCTTAAAATAATCATTGATATTTCAAATTTGTTTTTCTATTGTGTAAAACACAAAGTTTTCACATATTCAATGCTCAATTTTGTACAGATTGGTTTAATGTTTTACAAAAAAGACAATGTCTATTGAACAAAATGTAACTGGATTTGAAAAACTGAACCTTGAATGGACACATGTATGATTTCGTGATTTTCTTTCGGATAATTTATACCATAAAGGTTAACTAGGAAGTTCCTTTCAATTATTCAAGTTTTGGAGAATCATTTGTTTTAAATGACTAGTGTCTATATCATTAACGTACTCCATTATCTGGGAATATTCTCTGCGGGTTGAATGATTTATTTCCTTTGAGCTTATTTTGTCCAGATAGAATATTGATTGGTATAGTTGGTTTTGAGAATGCACAAAGGCAATCAGATGTTGATTGTAAAATTTTTTTCCCAACTCAATGTTGATTATCACTTGCGGTGTTGGTTATTTTCGACCACATGTATTCATAAGAAATAGTTAAATGAGGAATTCACATGTTTAGGTCATTGCCCAATAAAGTAGAATTTGTTTTCTAATTTAGACAAGCTCATTTGTGTTTGTGATTTATTGGTATTCACATGTTTGCACACTGGGACGATGTTTTTTGGTTCTACTTTACTAGAAACTATGAATAAACTGTTAGTACATAAAGTCTAAAACCGCATTCTATGTGATCCTTTATTGCACCAACTATCTGAATGTAAACCAACTGAATAGCTGGAAGTTGACAAATTTACATAATCTAAGCATTATTTTCATTGCACTCAAGCACACGAGATCATAGGTCCTGCGTTCGATTAACACGTGGGGTCGCGCAAAATCCCTAGACCAATCAGAGTTAGACATGAACATTGTTGGATGCCAGCTCAGTGGTTCACATGTTAGGCGTTTGCGCACAACAGCGAAGGTCCCGGGTTCGAACCCTGCGAGATGCAGGAGTCATGGTAGCGTACTACTGATGAGTCCAGTACTAGGACGAAATGGCTATCCAGCAGTTCCAGGTTTCCAATGATGATATAATACGGATCAGTTCATGATTACAATGAAATTCAATAATTTCCTCAACCCATACTGATACAAAATTAATATGAGTGACTTTGATCTTTGTCGACTGTAGATGAATGTGTGATATTTACCAGTCAAGAAATCGTTTGCCATCTTGTAACAACCTGATTTATAACAGGCTGGGAGTAAAATAGCGTTCAGTTTTGAGTGTTGAATTTCTATTGACGAATAAACTGAACAGTTTTTGAAGTTACTGAAAATCTACTGCAACTTCAAAACTCTTGAATAATTAAATTGCATTCTTTATCACTTCTAAATAAACCATCTTCTCGTATAATGACACAAATAGTTCAGTGATAACTTTGATTCTAGGAGCAATTTTCTAAAATAAAAAACACAGGGTCTATGTGATTTCGAATAATACCAACAGTTTCGTCCTAGTATGGGACTCATCAGAGGCAGTTAGCATCCACGACTCCTGAAACTTGCAAGATTCGAACCCAGGACCTTCGGTATTGTGCACGAACGCCTAAACATCGGAACACTGGACCGGCATCAAACGGTGTTAATGTCTAACTCTGATTGATCTACGGATTTCGCGCGACCTCACCCATTTGTCTTTGGTAGTTACTACCTACACCTGACAGGGTTGAACTCCACTGGTGGTCACGTCTTATCAACTAGAACTCGGAGAAGATTCCTCACGAAACTAGTCACTAGTGAGCACATTTTAAGATATTTTCAGTGAGAGTTTTTGAAGATTTGTGTTTTTACACATTTGAAATCATTATTCAGTCATTAGTGTGAAATGTAACTACCGTCCACATGTATATTTCTACTTTTAATCTTCTGGCTTAAATCGTACAACATTTTAATAAATATTTCTATTATTCTACTTTTGTTTATTTTTTATGTGACAAAAACGAACGAACAGAGAATTAACTTTAATCTCTTCAGATTTAAATAATTTGAAATGTTTATATAAATATATATGCATTAATTTAAACAAAATTCAAGTGAAGGTCATCGAAACTATTTAAATAATCTAACTAGTGGGAAATTTTATTGTTGTTGAAATTTGATTAATTGTAAATGAACTTTTATTTAGACAATCTGACAGGAATATATGAGTAATCTGAGTTTAACTAGATGAATAATTCATAAAAAGTCATCAAAACTTTCATAATCTCCTGTTACTCATCAAGTACACATGAAATATTGTCTGATTTAGCCGATTTCAGCTGACAAACTATTCATTGAATGAAAGCTACAAAGGGGAGAAATTTTTATTCGGTAAAAGTACAAAGTTGAATTGTCTATCATCCAATCAGGAAACACTGGTTAATTTGTAAAACAAATGAAATCTAAAAGCCATAAAATATCAGTCGAATAACTGCTTCGATCAGAATTTATAACCCTAAACTATTTTGAATTAATCCTTAAAATAGAAGGAAATAGGTTAAGTTCAACTGTTAATAGTCAACCTAGTGTTATGAGCTGGGGTTATCATCCCATAGAGTTTTCAATTCTAATTAAAGCTAACCGTCATGTCAGAAGGTTAGTGATAGGTATTACGGGTTAATTTGGAGTTCTCAGTTTGATTTATTATTCGGTGCTAAAGTACAATGTCTCATTGTCAGGATATTTATGATCAAGCTATCTACTTTAACGGTAAGATTAATTCCAAGAACTTTCAACAGACTTGTATTTTACTAAAACAGAATTTCAGTAGATTACGCATTTCATTTTTGAAACATTTAGCGTGCATTTCATTTCAGTCGTACTTATGATAGTATATTAAAGTGAAAAGGTTCCGTAGTTAAGTTTTAATTTACCAATTTCGCATTACAGTATTAATTAATATCGTACGTTTACCTTGAAACCATAAATGAATCACTGTTAGACCACCATTAGAAACTAACAAGTACTAGACGGTCGTTTCGTCCTGGTATGGGACTCATCAACAGTGAGCATCTGCGATTCCTGCTACTCGCAGCATTGGAACCCAGGACCTTTGGTCTTGTGAGCGAACACTTAAACTCTGGACCACTGGGCTGGCATCCAAAAGCCGTAATATCTAACTCTGATCAATCTAGGGATTTTTCGTGACCTTATCCACTTGTCTTCGGTAGTTATTGGCAACATCCGATAAGGCTGGACTCCACTGGTTAAATATTTCGAACTACAAACTGATGTTGATTTGTTGTTATAAAGTTTAAATGAGATTAAGGTTTATTTAAGAAGCCTAACTATTCCATAATATATATATATATATATATATATATGTCATAAGTTCAACATAATTCAACGTAGCTGATAAATATCGATGTTAGTCAAATTAGATTGATCTCAATACATTGTAGTTATCTATTCTACCTGTTAAAACGCTCATGAAAATTAATCACACATCTCACCATTTCTTATGTCAAGTTTGCACTGATACACTAGTATTTCGCCGAATTATCTACGTTATCCAGTCGCATATAACGACTTAATT